TGATTTCACCCTTGTGCCTATAAAAATGTTGCTTGCATTGGTCCTTCTCATACTCAGATAGAAGCTGAAGTGCAATAAGGTTTTTCTCAGATTAATTAATATTCCAAAGATTGTTGTGCCTGATTTATGTATCATCATCATATATATATATATATGTATATGTATATATACAGTACGATTGGTCCGAAAATAGCAGCATACTGAAAGAAAACAAAATCCCCAAATTTTTTCTGTTTTTGTCAGAAAACTATTGAATAACCGAAATGCTTCCATTTTAAAACCAAAACTAATTTCAAGGGTAATGTCATCAAAATCTACACTAGCAATCCTCAAATAACGCTAATCATCGAGGACCGTATGATATGTGAGGCAGCGTGGTGGAATCAGGCTCTCGTCAATTTTTGGGCATGTAGAGTTATTGGTATCATCTTTAAGCTTGTTCACTTGTTTTTATTTGGATGAAAAAAATATCCATTTATCTTGAATACAAGTCGAGATATTTGCGAATGAAGAAGGTGGGGGTCACCTGTTTTCAGAGGTAAAATTAGTGAGAAAATAGTTACCAAAGATTAGTTATTTCCTTAGCCTAAGAGTCCGTGGTAACTGAAAAATTACAATTTTTGTGCCTTTAATCAACGTTTTTCAGAAAAATCCACACAAATATACGTTCTTTAATAGGCATGAAAGGTGTTGAGACAAATAACAAAAATTTGACAAAAGTTCACAAACCTGCTAAAAAATGCAAGTTTCTCCACTTTGATTATTCTGACAAGAGCCTGATTCCACCACGCTGCCTCACAAATGCTTCAAGATAACGACACAGGAAAAAAAAAAAGAATCATGTCAATTGCGGGCGAGAGATAGGCTTTGCCAGTGCACTGTTTGCTAATATAACGTTTATCACAAAAAACAAATGTCTGCACTTTGATTTTAGGATCAGGATAGTGAATTTGTCTGATGCGCGACCTTCAATTGGTCCTCGCCTGTTGAAGCCTATTGTCTCTGCAAAGCTCGTTTACACGATCACACTTAAGCGGAGGAAATGATGCAGCCCGCACAGTTTTCCATTTAAACGGACTTTTTCTCCTTCTATGGTCGGCCTCCTTCATAGGGCAGCGGCCTGCTGCATGCAGTCAGATAGTAAAGATATAAATTTATAATGTAACGACCTCTTTGGGTTTGGTCTATAGTAGGCCTACATCTAGTCCGGGCCGGGTATTGTCTTACAGCAGTGGTGCGCGGCACAGGTCTCCGTGCGGGCACTCGAATAGCGTATACCCCCCGGGGGCGATGCTACTGACTGAAGTGTCTTTAGGCCATTCGCAAAAGGGGGGAGGGGGGGGGGGCATTAACATCTCGAGTTCTTATGCACAGTAGAATTGTAATTGTAAAAGGGCTGATTCATCAAGGTCATGCTCATAACTGCCTGAACTGCAACAGGGAACTGCTGCTTTTTCTCTCCTAATTCTTACTATCATAATTTTTCCTCTACTTCTTTTGTATGTTTGTCACTCTCTTGTGACCCGCTATTTCCGGGGTGCCTTGATAGTCGAAGCAGACTTTGTGCTGTTGAAGCTAGAGAGGTGAGGAGAGTAAGTCTGATTCCTTGTTAGGACTTCTCTGTTAACATCCACCCCTTGGCGCTCATATGACCGTATGCAGTTGCGAGTGCCGTAAAACCTCTACTAAAGCAACGAATAGTGTGTGGTAAGTGATCAGGACTGACACCACATCTCAGGCACGAGTCGTCTGGGGTAGGGCCTATCTTATGGAGGCCATGACTGTATTGTAGGGTAGGACTCTTGGCGTTGCACTGTGTAATTGTAATTGCGACAATATTCTTCTTTGTCTTCTGTTCTGGAGAGAGGCCTTTCTCCTAAGTCCTGGTCCAGCTCCGGTGGTAGTTTGACCGTCCCTCCAACAGAATCATGGAGTGCACTCCCGTTCGTTGGCGATAACATAACGTGTAAATGTAATGTCTTTGCAGATTCCAGATATCTATTTCTACATTTGCCTGGTCCATTCAACCGCCTTGTTTAACCGGACTCTGCCATACATGTTGAGATGTACATGTAATTTACATTATTGTTAATAGTTATTACAATTACAGGTCAATGCTTGTCAGATTATGCTCAAAGTTTGATAAAAGTGACCAAATCAGTGCCGATAGGTGGGTGGCTGGCGGGTGCTCTGGTGTGGTTTGCTCCTTCTTTCCTATCAAACATCTATCGTCCTTATCTCCCCTCCTTCTTTTTTGTGTTTGTTACTCTCTTGTAACACCTCTAATCTTCTGACGCTCATATGACCTTATGCAGTTGCGAGTGCCGTAAAACTCTTACTAAAACTAAACTAAGACCAAAGTGCCAATAGTGCTGTAAAACACCTGCTCAATCAAATTAAAAAGAGAACTCAAAGGTTTCATGAATTGGAATTGATTTCAGTTATCTAGTTTGTTCCATACACAAGAGTGTTGTGAATTCAGGAGGACTCCAGTTTGTGATTTAATTTCCTCAATAAAGTCTTGCCTCTACTACAATTCTCCATCTCTGAGTGTGTAACAACAATGTGTGAAATGAATTTCTTGGATGTATTGTGTGCTAAAAAAATGTAAGGTCCTAATGTAATCACTTGAACTTGATGTGGAAAAATGTGCTAGATGTGAAGTATTTATTCTGTCAAGTCTAATGTGTGTGGTGCTGTACATATGTATATATAATGTATGAAATTCTCTTGGATGTCTTTGTTTTATCTATGGATATAAGTTAAGCATTCAATAAAAATAAAAGAATACATGTGGTTCATCTTGTTCAGTGTTCTTTCTTTTGTGTTCATTTATCAGCAACCTTTTTTCCTGCTCTCTCTCTCTCTCTCTCTCTCTCTCTCTCTCTCTCTCTCTCTCTCTCTCTCTCTCTCTCTCTCTCTCTCTCTCTCTCTCTCTCTCTCTGAGTCTCTCTCTCTCTCTCTCTCTCTCTCTCTCTCTCTCTCTCTCTCTCTCTCTCTCTCTCTGAGTCTCTCTCTCTCTCTCTCTGAGTCTCTCTCTCTCTCTCTCTCTCTCTCTCTCTCTCTCTCTCTCTCTCTCTCTCTCTCTCTCTCTCTCTCTCTCTCTCTCTCTCTCTCTCTCTCTGTGTCTGAGTGTGTGTGTGTGTGTGCGTGCGCACCTATATGTAAGGGAAAATACCCCTTTATAAAAAGAAATACTGATCTTTTGTAATAGTAAAAACAATAAAAAAAATATTGAACTTACTTTAATGATTTGAATAGTGCACACAGAAAAGGGAGACAATATGCAATGCAGCAACAAACCTGAATGATGAATTTTGCAAAATCATAAGTTTCTTCAAAAATCCCTCGCTGGGTGATTAAAAAGTAAGCCCTAGAGTAATTATTCGAGTACTCGAAGGTTTGGACTTGAATCAGTACCATAGTGTATATCTTTGGTCAGTACTCAAGTAAAAAAAAACTTCTTGCGGTCTAAATACAGGAGGACCCGAGTGGATTCGAGTACCCGCACACCCCTGAATACTACATGTATTGGAAACTATCCATATTTCAGAAGTTAAAAAAAAAGAAAGAAAATTCTATACAACGTCGTCAATATAATTTGATTGGAAATCACATGAGTCTTGGAACTTCGAACTTCAACTGATTTTGTTTTAATATGTGTTACGACGTGGTGGAATCAGGCGCTTGTCAATTTTTGGGAATGTAGAGTTGTTGGTATCATCTTAAAGATTGTTCACTTGTCTTTATAATTTGGAAGAAAAAGATATCCATTTATCTTGAAAACAAGTCGAGACATTTGCGAATGAAGGAGGTGGGGGTCACCTGTTTTCAGATATAAAATTCGTGAGAAAATGGCCGCCAAAGATTAGTTAATTTCCTTAGCTTAAGAGTTCGTGGTAACTGAAAATTTACATTTTTTGTGCCTTTAATCAACTTTTTAAAGAAAAATCAAAACAAAAATGTGTTCTTTAATGGGCATGAAAGGTGATGAGCCAAAAAACACAAATTTGATTTAAATTCACAAACCTGCGGAAAAATGCAAGTTTCTTCACTTTTATTATTTTGACGAGAGCCTGATTCCACCACGCTGCCTCACTAATATGTGTCACGACGTTGTGAAATCAGGCGCTCGTCAAATGTTTGTCATGTGGAGTTATTGGTATCATCTTATTAAAACTTCTTTAGTTGTTTTGCTAACAGTGAAAGAAAATACCCATCTATCTTGCATAGAAGTCAAGATATTTGAGATTTCAGAAAGTGGGGTCACTTGGTTTCAAAGGTAGAATTAGCGAAAAAATGACCGCAAAAGTTTGGTCATTGCCATAGCTTGATGGTCTGTGGAAACTGAAAATTTACATTTTTTGTGCCCTTAATCATCAATGTTTTTCAGCAAAATCCACACAGAAATGTGATTTTAATTAGACAACAATAGTGTTAAGCCAAAAAAAAAAGAAAAATTCTATAAAAATTGCCAGACTAGCAGAAAAATGCCAGTTTCTTCAATTTCATTATTTTGACGAACGCCTGATTTCACCACGCTGCCTCACATATATTTATGAAAAGGGTGACTTTGTTTAGGCCACATGATATGGCCTCAATAAGGACACCCC